TGTGGGAATAGAAGATCTTTTATAGAAACAAACATTGGAACCTTGTATTGGGTCTGGCTTTTACAGGTAGTTGATATTGGTTGGCCTCTGAGTACGCGTGATTTGCAACACGAGTCACTGAACAAGGGAATCCGCGGTTTGCTTTGGGCTCCTGTTGTCGCCTGCACCGCACAGAGCAGTTGTTTATACCTAAAACTGCGCGTAAAGATGATTCCCATCATCCTTCCTACGTTGTGCCGAGGGTGAGGAAAGGCGCATGGTACTGGTGGTGAGGATATTGTTTTCCCCCTTTTTAAAAACAAGGAACACTAGCGGTTGCCACTCGTGGCCATCAAAGATTACACTGGCTTAACTATAGAATTGGGAAAAATAAATGAAGATCATTTGAAAAGCCCAGCTCCCACTCCTGGAAAACCCTTTGCTCTCAGCCCGCAGCTGATACTTTGGTCTCTATTGTTGGAAGATCCTGGCCCTGGGGATCCCCTGGGGCTCGCTGATACCTGGTCAGAGACGCCGGGGGTTGCGTACGAGCTGAGATTGCACGTGCTAGACGAAACCTTCTCTCTGCAGGGTGTTGCGAAGGACTCCTGCCCAGGAAGGCGTGCTGTGCATGCAGGTGCTGTGCCTTCGTCTGGGGAGCTGCTGCTGTTTGCTCCAGCAAGATCCCCGTTGGGGTGAGAATACCACAGCAAGAGCACGAGCACCCGCTGCTGCCGAGCGCTGCGGAGGAGCCGAGCGATTGCGCAGGAAGGCGGGTGGAATGGCTGGAGGAGGGCAGCCGTGGGCAGCGGGTGGGAAGCTCGCTCTTTTCTTCAGGTGGCGTTTGTTGGAGGGTTGGATCCTGCCCTTTGTGGGCAGAGAACATCCCGCTCGCGGCACAGGGCAGCAGGACAGACTCTGCAGCTGGTTCGGGAGCAGCTGTAGCCTCCTGGGCGCAGGCTGGGGACAGGGAGGGGACCAGCGAGGAGCCAGAACGTCCCTCTCTCTCAAGCTGGTGAAGCAGGAGGTCTAAGAAACAGCTTTCTGTGCTCCGCTGTGTTTTCACCAAGCAAATGTTTGAAGCGTGAGACTGGAGAGGTTTCTCAGAAACATTTGCACGTTAAATGTCATTGCCGCTTCCTGAACGCCTCTTGCGAATCTGGTACTTCTGCAGTACAGCGCAGCGTGGCAAGGCTTGGCCGCGAGGTTAGAAACGTGTCTCTCTTGGCTGCTTGTAAATACTCTGTTGTGTTGTAAAATAAAAGAGCTAATAACGTAAACTCTGTGCCAGCACAGGCTTGGGAAGGGTGATAGGAACTAGACCACGCTGCAAGGAGGAGATTTTCTGTCGATGGTGAAGCAGCTGTGTCGGGACGGAAGAGGCTGCTTTTAGGTTGCTAAAGGGTACTCTTAATTTCTGGGTAGGGGATCTCTTTCCTCCTAAATTTGTATTACAGCAGTGGGACAGTTTGCTTAATTTTAGTATGTTGCATATAGTGTTGGTATCTCCTTAGAAAAATCTCAAAGTTGCTTTCTGTGTTATTGACCTGACCGTGATGAAGGCAGATGGGAAAAGAGGAGTGATAAGGGTGCTGTGGCGGTTATTCTTGAGCCTCCGTTTTAGGGGAGGGAGGGAGAGAGGCAATCGAGTTCCCTCTTAATGTCACTATGATACGAAGACAGACCCCGAGGTTCTCCGGGCCCTTCACTGCTGATACCAAGACTGGAACCTTGTTTTACACGTCAGAAAGTAAAATCCCTTTGTGCCATAAAACCTTACTCTCAAGGCTGTGCTTGGTGCTCCCGTGATCTGTGTGAGATCGGTTCAGAGCCTGGAGTGAGCAAGAAAGAGCAGATCACCCCTCTGATCCTCTCGCTGTGTCCCAGCCTCCCTCGGAGCTGCCCGGGGAGACTCGCAGAGCCGGGGGGAGCGGCCACGGCCACGGCAGACCCCGTTCCCCTCTGCGAAACAGCCGATGCCTCTCGTAGCGCGCGTGGTCCAGGGAAAGGAGCTGTTGAATGGATTTGGAATCAAGAAATAGCTGCTTCAGAAATACATGAAATTCAAAATAAGATTAGCTTGGTATTTGTATGAACTTGATTGAATTTGGCCTTTTTATTACCTTCTGCTTGGCTCTGCGTTAACTCTGCTTGGATTCTGTACGTGACTGTTGGTGTAGAAGCATTAACGTGTTCGACCTGTTCTGTTCCGGCTTCCCTTGTTCCCAGCATCACAAGAACGAAGCCAATCGTACACTTGACTTTTGGAGGAACCTGACTGTTCAAAAGCAATTCTAAAGCTACCGTTTTTAGCAAATCTGCTGTCATTAAATGTGTATTTCTTTTTAAAATGAAATTGCTTGTCCTTCTCGAAAGTAAGCACTTATTCTTGCAGTTTCAGCAAGTTAACTGCAGCACAATGCAAGCTCTAAGGGGACAGGT